CCACGGTGCGACACATTTGCTGCATCTGACAAGCGAAGCTCAAACTTGGGGAAGCCTCGTCTTGCAAGCGCATGAAACCAGAAGACCAACCGTCGAATCTGGAGGGCCCCTGCTCTTGGACCGGTGCAATTGCCCTGCAAAACATCACGTTCAAATCAACAAGTCGCACATCTGAGAGAACTCTGCTCCACATCAGAACATGTGGCGCAACTCAAACTGCAAACCGTCTTGATCTTCCTTATGTGTGGAACTACATTTGATCACGGCGTTTGCATCCAACCACTCACCTGTCAAGGTCAACATGCCAGGAGGCTTGATCCCTGAGCATAGCTTTGCTAGAACAGTCTTGTTTGCCACATGCTAAACTGTGTGCAAATGCAGTGTTCGAAATTCACAGTTTCTGTCTTGTCCGATATTTCACTGAATGCCTGCATTACTCTTAAACAAGCGTCTGCTGTTTGACAAAATGCAACTGTTGGCATGGCAAGTCCGTCGGCAGCTGGTGGACCATGGACAAGGGGGCAAACAGTAAGCACATGTTGCACACTTCTCTGTGTCATGTTCAAACTCATGTCAGTCACATTTCACAGTAAGACTCGTTCAACTATGCAGTGGTAATCAGTCATAGTCAGCCATACTAAGTCACATTCAATGTTTGTTTACCCGCTGCAAATGCCCAGGCCATTTTGGATGCTCTCGATGGGGAATCCAAACACGCTAAAAGGTTTGAGAAACACCAACATGGCACACAAAGCTCCTGGATTTGCGGAGGCGATGCAGAAGGCCAGCTGCAGGCTCCTGCGGCCAACGGAACGGCTAAAAGAGACATGCAAGGCACAAACAACCGGCAATCCGTCTTGGAGTTGAGAAGATGGCACGAGGCTTTTCTCCGTGAGATGGCAGGGTCCACCCATGCTTGCACATTTGGCAACCTGGCTACTTAGGTCGTTGAAAGCGATCATCTTCACAATCGCGACTTGCACACACAATGAGTGTTCGATGAGATAGGAAGGCCATGAGTTTCGTGCAATGCCAAGCAAATATACATACGCAATAGTGCACAACGAGACACCGACACAAACACATTTAACAAATCAGCTTCCAGAAACTGAATAGTGAACAAAGAACACATGCTGACATGCATCTCGCGTGCTCGCACGCTTCAGGTTAAGATCAGCACCAACCACCACCAGCATAGAGTGTCACCGCACACACAGCGCACGATTCAAAGCCAACCAAACATACTTCACTCAAGCACACACGCTCATAAAACACGCCGGTGCAGGCTTGCGCAAACAAATCGGACATTGATCAATCCTTGCACACTTCAATCTCAACATGCATGGCCCAAAGGGTGCGCTCAATGGGCATTTGGGATATATATATATATATATATGTGTACATATATTGGGGCCATGAAAGCCGATGTGAGTAACACACCACTCTGCCTTTCGCTCGCCCTTACCTCTTTCGCGACCACAGCATGGCAACACTTTGGATTTCCACTAGGTCTCCTGTACACTAAGCCTAGGTTTAGATCGACTCCCATTTGGCTGAAGCCCATAGTTTGCGCCTGGCCATAAATACTCCAGAAATCACATTGTGTGCTGCCTGGGAAGCTTGCATGCCGATTACACACTCGACTTTCACACCTGCAAGTCGTTATAATATCATAATTTAAAACTGGATGAATATTGATTGAGTCGGACTTGTTGCACATACTGTTGTAGCCTTTGTAACATGTTGTGGTCTAGACCATAAACAAACTATGGTCGAGGAAGCCGGAAGGATACGCCAGCAACCCTCATGCCATAAAGATTGATACGGATCTGAAAGTCTGAACAAATGCATGTCTCATGCAGTAATCTGGCTCGACACGATTCTACGTTGGACAGCATGGCCAGAACATAGCTCGCTTAGTCTACCAGCCAAGAGCATGTCAACTATCCTCGTGGCTTTGTCGTTGTAGTGTCAAGAGACTGTTCAGATACCCTTCCAGGTAGGTATTACCTACTTATGAACCTCTTGTATGGCTTTGGTACCTCGTAGGATGCCTGTCTGAATACCAGAACAAATCCTCTAGTCAAAGCGTCACGGTGAGATCTCAAAACAACGACTGGCTGTCTTCTGATCTTGGGCAACGAGCTTGGTTGCTCTTATCACCCCAATGATATAGCTGTCGGTGCTGACACTCTCTCACAAACACCCCTCATCAGCAAAGGTGTGCAAAGGTCATTCGAGCGACGAGACAATCACAGGATGATAGGCTTGACCTTTTCTCATTCCCAGCTGTCAACAACCCATTATCCGACGTCCTTATCGAGATGACACAGCTGACCGTCTGGTCTAAGTATTAACAGTATGGACCTGGGGAAAGCGGCATTCTGTGTGTATTACCTCACCTTTGGGCAAGAACCTCTCTCATCTGGCCTCGTCCCCTGCAAACCTGTCTGCCCAGCCAGCCATGAGCAGCTGGCTAAAGGAGGACACGGAGCTCAAACAGCGGCAAAAACCCGCTGCGACCACCGCCTTCCAGAAGTTATTGGACGCCTTAAAGCGATTGATTTGGCAGCTCCGCTTTGTTTCCAGCGTATGTGGTACACGGTGCTTCTCGAACGGCTGAACTGGCCGCTTGAGCATGGACCAATCCAAGGCTGCAAAAGTAATGATGACCGGAATACTCACCAGTAGGGACAACTTTACATTCTGATCTGTGCCTGCAAGTACCATCGCTTGTCTTGATTCCAATCTGCGTGCTAGGCTGCTAGGCATTGAACAAACCGAAGTGGGTCCAACCCTCATGTACTCTTGAGCAGTTGCCAGCTCACAGAATTGTGCTCAGCTGAATCATTAGCCTCAGACCTCCCGCCTCTTTGACTGACGTGATTTGTGGAGTCACTGAGTGCTGCTATGTTCAATCAAGTCTCCTCAGAAACATGTTCTTTGTCTTATCTAAAACATGGCGGGACTGCGCTCTATGCTGTGTGCCGTCAAGTTTCTGGTCAAGAATGCCCCGCTGTACTCTCGCTTTTACAATCATCCCTACCCAAGCCCACATTCCTTTCTGGGCTCACAGCGTTGGCGTCTTACATGGCTCAAAAGCCAGCAGCGTGCGAACTGTGCCATGGGAAGTCAGCGCCTGCAAGCGCGACAATGCGGCAAGCTCAACTGCATCCAAGGCAGGCAGGGGTTTGGCAAAATTGGCAAGGAAAGGAGCGGCCCAAGGTCAAATAATTTCAACAACATAAATTTGTTTGTGGGTCAGCTTTCTCAAAATCATAATTGCACAAGCAGTTCAGCCCAGCAATGAAAAAGAGTGCTAAAAGGAAAGAGATAATTACAGCAGCCTGTTTACTGCCTGGAAAAACGTTGGAATGTTGCCTCTAGCGAAGCACAAGCTGCGGCTCTTTGCACGAATACCTGTCAAACACGTGTTTTGGTGCAGAAATCATAATACTCTACTAACTTCACACACTTGAAGTTATTCCTGCGAGGGATTGGTGTGACCTGTGTGACCCCAGCATTGGCCTTAATTCAGAGGCCCCTTTGGATAAATAAAGCTATGTCGATTGGACTTTGGAACTTAGGCGTAGTGGAGAGCTCGCGTGGTACTACAGGAATAGAAAAATCAAATAGATCGTTACCCTTGTCTTGAGTCAGACAAACCAAACCAGCAAGACTTGGCAATACCAAGCAGGTTGTAAAGGAGCGCCGCGAGCAGCAAGCTCCAGCAATCCTACAGTGACACCAAGCAACTTTGAAGCGATGCTAAAGCAATGCCACATCACGTGGAGTGCTAAACTTGGTGTTAGCAAGACGCTCAAATCGTACTGCAGGACCGTGGCATTGATTGGAATTTCAAATTTGGTCAGGTGAGCAAACCATGTCAGCAACACAAAGCACCACTAAATCAAACAAATTGGCTTGGAAAACAATATATTGCGGGGCTCCAGTTGTTGAATGGGCCGGATCTGTTTCATCATAGTTTGAAACCGTTGCATAGAGACGCCGGAGCACCAAACAAACTCAAGCTTCTTCATGGCAAACACGTACGCCTGTTGGGGGCGGAGTGCAAGTGAGAACAATTCCAAGCAGAATGACGCGAGCTAAATCTAACTAAACGGGTGCAAGCAAATCGTGTTAGGGCTTGGGAGCAAGAACAACACAAAACAATAACAAATCCAAGAACAACCAGTCATTGTTATTATACTCTTTAGAATGACTAGGGCTTGGGAGCAAACACAACAAACACAATAACAAATCCAAGAACAACCAGTCATTGTTATTATACTCTTTAGAATGACTAAACAATTCGGACTCTGAAAAGAATGTGAAACTGAACAAATCTGAAACAAATTGAATCTGAACCGAAAAAAACATAGAGGGAAATCAAAATCTAAACGATCATGAACAAGGTTTGCGCGGCAGAAAAGAGACTGGATGATTAGAGCCCTGATCAAAAATATGACATGGCAATGCAAACTGAAAGAAAAACTGAAGATCCTGCCAAAACCACACGTCCTTCGCAGACAAGAAAGTCTATGGACAACAGGTTGGCGCAAAAGGTTCCCCACACAAAGCCAGGAGCAATCAGCGAACAAACTCTGCAACAACGACCACAATAACAAGACACACACCAAAAGAAAACAGAAACCAACAAGAGTCCACAAACAAGAAACAAGCAACCAGCAACACGACAAAAACAACAACACGAACAACACGAACAACACGAACAACAACAACAACAACAACAACAACAACAACAACAACAACAACAACAACAACAACAACAACAACAACAACAACAACAACAACAACAACAGCAACAGCAACACAACACAAACAACAACAACAACAACAACAACAACAACAACAACAACAACAACAACACAGCAACAGCAACAGCCACACACACAACAGCAACACAACAACACCAACACCAACACCAACAACACAACAACAACAACAACAACAACAACAACAACAACAACAACAACAAC